AAATCCTAATGTCCAAAACTCAATACCCATTCCCACTCAATTTAACACAAACCGTCATATAATTGCCACTACTGGCGCGCGAGGCAGTGTAACATTAGCAGAGAGTGAACKTTATTGGAAATACAATATTATACATGAGTATTAAATGTGTTTGAACAATTGCAGATTTTGCCTCTACCGTCGAGCTGGCCCGTCAACCCGCATGATCACGTCGACGATCGTCCAGAGGCTTCGTCTCGGTTGCGAGGCACAAGTGATTGGGCACCACCACGACCACAAATCATTTTCACTAGTCATCCTTCGCCAATGTAAGCAGGGCTGGTTTTAAGTGGAGGCGGTGCGCAATTGTGCTAGGGCATCACATTTTGGGGGAGCAGATATCTCAGATAAAATGAACAAAAAATTAATTTTACTTTGGAAAGAAAAACAATCAAAAAAATTATGTGCTGAAAAAATAACAACAATTTTGATAGGAATCTATTTTAGTTTAAAATTGTAATATTATTCATGTAATTTTATTTGAGTGTGATCCACTGATATTTTCACTAAACTTTAAAAACTGGAATTGAATATAAAATAGTCAGTTATCTTAGAGTTGCTGTACACAGGTGCGTAAACAACATTTTATTTAGGGGGAAGGAAAATTTTAGGTTATACATTTTCGTATTATACATATACATTACTATATTTTATGGTACTGAATATACGTAAGCGAAAAAAATCTAAAAAAATTATCAAATAGCTTAATTTTTGTGTATTTTGTACGTCGTGTGTATGTCTATTAAAAATTATTTGAGTTTTGTCGTATGTCTTTCGCAACAGTTAAGGTGAGTTTCCTCTACTATATACTCACCTCCTGCTGAAAACTTAATGTTTTAATGTACCTAATGTTTTTATTTGTTCGTAATTTCCTATGTTATACATTTATGTATTTCATCGAACAGAATTTTTTCAATATTATGTTATTGCTCCGATTTTTAGTATTAGATCTATACATAATTCAAATACACTTTATTTTTATATTGCAATAGATATTGTTCACCAACAATTTGTACGCTTGTCGTTTATTGTAAATTTAATTTTTGGTTTAAGTTTGTTGTTTTTTTTTTTTTTTACAGTAGGAAAAATATAATGGAATTACAGGGTTATAGATGTGCGGGCTGTAGCATGAAAGTGGCAGTGAAATACGCTTCCAAGTTCCGTTATTGCTTTTACTTGGGTCGATATTTTTGCACAGGGTGTCATGTAGATAAAACCGCTATCATACCCGGTCGAATAATTGAAAAATGGGATTTTTCTAAGTACGTCACATGAGTGCTGTAAAAGCGTCGTCTATACTCTAAATTGTATTAATAGACATGTATTGTTTATTCAGGTATCCRGTGTCGTGTTTCTCATTCACTCTGCTAGGGAAAATGCTATTTGACCCGCTGTTTAATATAACCGACTTGAATAGCGTTCTGTATAAACGCGCTCGAGGCCTAGACAAAGTCAGAACGTATCGAATGCAATTGCATTACATTAAAGATTTCATTTTCTTGTGCAGATACGCTGATCGGTTGGTACAAATATACACTAGAATAGTAGAATCAGTTTGCACGTKTTCAGTATTATGCTTTGWTCTTATGTAAACAATATAGATTTTTACATTAATAAATATTATTTTGAGTAGATTAAAAGAGACATTGGAAACTATGGACGTTCATATAATTCTTAAGCCAGACTTGTATTCCATCCAAAACTTGGTGGATGTCAAAAACGGAGAGCTCGGTAAAAAACTGCAAAACTTAATCATTGCCTGTAATAAACATATTATTAATTGTCAGGTAAAAAGATAAAGTAAATATTTTGTACGGTAACTTTGTAAAAACTCATTACTATAATGTATAGTTGTGCCAAGCAAGAGGGTTTGTTTGTGAAATATGCAACAAGAACAAAATACTTTTTCCTTGGGACTTCAGATTGGTCACAAGATGTGTGGAYTGTGGGTCATGTTATCACAAGAAATGTTACGATTCGAGAAAAGTACCAATGTGCCCCCGGTGTCCTCGGATCATGGCCATGTTTAAAAGAACAGAAATTCAAAACGATCAGAATACTGTTGTACAGTCTTGAACAATGGTAGTGAATTAGTTTCTACCACAATCAACCAAATGTATTAATTGTGTATTTTTCTGATTATTTATTTTTTTATTACCATTTAGTATTTAATTTTTGGTATTTTTTTTTCCAATAACTATTAATTATATTGCAGGTTGTAGAATATACATAAACACAATAACAATGGTAATTATTTATTATGTTTTTACCCATTTTGGAAACAAGAAAATAAATTATTATTAGATTCCCTATAAAAAAAAATAATATTGTTTAATATAAATAATCCATTATTAATAATAATCCAGTTAAAAAATATAACCATAATTTTATTAATAATATGGATTTGCCTGTTTAAAAAGTATCATATTTAAGCATGGAAACCTTAGGAAATAGACACAAAATAGCTTACGCTAACTTTAAGGTYTTATAAAGTACTTTTTATTATCTTACTGAGGATTTAAATAAACAAAATTAATAATGTTATATTGCATCATTGTATACTATCATATGTTAAAAAAATGATTTATATATATATTAGTCTTAGTAATTAAATTTTAACATCATAATATTTAACTATATAATAAATTAATTGATTTTCATTTAATTACTTACACTTTTAAAAATGTGACTATTATGCTTAAATTAAAAAATTAACATTCTATACATCTTGATCAAGTAGTTTTGTTTTAAAATCTTACACAATTAATTTAACTGTTCAATATATATTCAACATATATATATATATATATATATATATATATTCAATACTAACAGGTTGTGTAATTTTTTTTACAAGAAATAGCAAAACTTTGTCTGGGTATAAAGCGCAAACAATACAGGACAAAATCAACAAACATAATATTTATAAATTTTTAAGTTAGGTGAAAAACTGAAAACAAAGTTTTTACTACTAAATAAAAGAAAAATTGAAAAATTATATTAACTTTGTATCGAATATTATGTCCAGTTATAGATTATATAAAAATACTAAATTATTTATGTATAAAATATTTWATATATACCTATATTTTAAATAGGTTTATAGTCATCTATTTATCWKATATTAATACTTAAATGTTATGTTCTGACTGATATACATATTTTATGTTGTTAAATTATTTATTTACTGTATACTTTTGTATTCTTCAAAATATAGCAATATTTTTATATAAATATTTTTGAAATATCTGAATCTGATTATTTTTATTTATTTTTTAATAATAAAATATCATATTTTAAAGTATTTTTATGGAAAATAACGAATTTTGTTAAAATCAAAAATATTATGTATGTCATCATGATTGAAATTTCAAATGTTTATATAAATTGTAAACAAAAAACTTTTTAGAGATTATAACAACAATTGAAAACTTTGTATATGCCAAGCCAATTATTAAAAACTAAAATTTCAAACTTATATAATAACTAACAAATTTTAATTTTTAGAATTATCTTTAAAAAYCAAGGATTTTTTAAAATATATCATATTAACATCAGTTATTTCTTATTTATACTATACATTATATTAAAAAAATCTCAGAAAAAAAATAGTTGTTTTTAACTTGTAATACTTATTAGTTGTTAGTTTGTTACCTAACATATTATCTATAATAATTTATTATAAATTATTAATATAGATATTTGTATTTATGTTTATTTCAATAGTAATAAACACATGTTTATAGGCATGTCAATACTGATAGTATAAATGTATAATGTTATCAAAAATAGTATTTAGTGGAATAAAATAAAAATATATATATTTTTTTAAATTGCCTTGTCTACCTATTTTATAAATTTTTTTTTTAATGAATAGCATGAATAATATTATGTTTTTTTTTGTAGTACGTTATGTATTATTCTAAAATATAAGCTAATCAAGGAAATTTACTATTAAATCTGTTAATTTGAATTTATTATTTTTACATGCCATTTAGATGAAGTATTGTTATAAATAGGGCTCGAAAGTTATAATTTAAAAGTTAAATATGTTTTAATCTTGTGTCGATTGAAATTTAAACATTTTGTAATTTCATAAACAAAATATTTGTTTTATTTTCACCTACTTGCTCTTATGTTGTATTTATTATATAAATATTATTAATTATATATTTTATCATAAATTAAATTATAATTTGCCGTGGTTAGTGCATTTTAATAACATCCAATATTTTTATCTATTGGTTATCATTACCCATTTATAAGTTCAAGGATRTGACAGAAATCTATTCAATGCTTTCATTTTTGTACTAGAATTCAATCATAATTTAAAACATTTAGTTATTTTATATTTTGTACTTTTCTAGTTTATTTAAGTTGTGTTATATCTAGGCACTTACACGGTATCCACACGGTACTTACTGCATGTATAATAAGATTTATAAAATTGAGTTGCATTAATTGTCCACATATTTAATATTTGCACCAAAGTTGGATTTACAAATTTATAGGATTTCTGATTCTATTGGAGTAATTATACTAATTAGAGATTATTAAAAACATTAATTGGTTGGTCATCTACCTATATACTAAACGAGTAGTATGTGAATTGACTAATATATTTCACAATATAATACTTACATATAGTATCTACTTACTAAATTCATTCTAAAACTCTCCCAGARTTAAAAGTATTTTTCAAGTTCTACAACAGATAAAATTTCAATTATTAAGCAATAAAGACCAGTGCGGCTTAAAATAATTTTGGACTCTAGGCCAAATMATATTAATCTATTATATATTATCCATAAATTATAGCAGTAGTCCTGACTGCGCGGCTGTTTAACAAATATAATGTGGCCCTCATTAAAATTAAATTGTACATTCTAAAATCCAAAGTTCAAGAAAAAGATTTGTGTCATTCATGAACTTTTCCTATGATACCCTTTCATGACAAAATATGCTGTCTCATTTGTTATTTTATTACATATATATATTTTTTATTGTTATTTTTCACTAATGAACAGTTGTTCATTTTTATATTTTTTATAATTAATTATTATCATTGATAAGCATGAAGTAGGTGCCTATATAGTCCTATATTATTATTGACTAGTTTTTTTCAATCAAGCCATCCAAGTCCTTTTATGTATCCCTCCATCTATTGTGCTTATTGTAAAAAATATTGCATAATACAGATTGTACAAAATACAAATTAAAATTAAAATAAYAAAAAAACCACCTTATTATATTCATGCCATTAAAATTTGTGTGATTAAGGAGACGAGATTGTCAAATGAATATATACGTGTAGTCACAAATCTCGACATCGTGTAATGCCAACATTTATGTTAAGGTGGCCTGCTTGCGTGTCATTAATACGGAGTAATATTTAGGCAATATGCAAACACTAGCCGCTGCCCATTGCATTCGAGTTTTTTTAGTGTCTATTRCTTTACTACTTACGTTTATATGATGGCATTAAAACGGTTTAAAAAATGTAAGTGGTTTTAAAAGTTAAAACGCTCGCACTATGTAGCTTGAGAATTTATAATCGATTTAAATTCAAACCGTTTTAACGCCATCGTATAAACGTAGTAAATAATGATTAGTGTGACTGTGATTGTACCGGGCTATGTATACAAGCGTTGCGCTTTTCCAAATGTCAACGGCACCGCCGACCAAAATTTTTTTCCAAAACACGCTTTACAGAAAAAAAAACTCATGTATATACATAATATAGAGTAGGTAGTTTGATTTGATTAATTTTTATTCTTTAGAATAAAAATAATTTTCTACAGGCTTTAGATTTTTAATTTCGTTGCTTAAACAAATACTATAAACAAAACATATTAGGTAATCTTGTGAAAGTTGGCCATATTCATAATCATAATCTACGGAAATAAAATGTTATTTTATTTGAAGTATAATTTTGAAAATACAAGTTCAATGTGCCGTTTTATAAGATTTTTTCTCTTTCAAAAACAAAAATGATCGAAATCGGATCACTTGAGGCGGGAGTGTTTTATTTTATTTAAAGCGTGTTTTTGAGAAAAAAAAATAGGTCAAGTGTAGGCCTCTTCAATGTAGTTATTATTTTGTAAATATTTTATTGAAACACACATTTTATTGATAACATGTATAGTGTGACAGACTAATTTTTAACAAAAACAAATTAAAAAWATTGTATTGGGGCCCGGGGGAGGGAGGCTTGCGAAATGTATGTGTTATATCGAAATTTTGTAATTTGTGCAACTAAATAAAATATTTATTCACACACTTATATATATATATATATATTATATATATATTACTTATTGATACCTATGTATTTTATTTATCGATCTGTAAATTAATTTCGTACGATTTATTTAAATAAACATATTAAAATGCACTTGAAGTAAAATAAAAACTGTAAGCTAATTGTATTTTGTAGGTATGTATAAAATATGCTGTATTATATGACTGAGTATAAATTAGTAATATTTCAGTTAGTGATTACAAAATATGCAAAATCAATAATATYATGATAAATTAGGTATTTATTTATTTATCAATATTGTCTAATTATTCATGTTATTTATTGACGTTTGTGTACCACAATTAAGTATAAATGATTTGAGCTCGGTAAATTTATAAGGTAAATTTAAATTTATGMAAATGTGATTTATCACATGTTTTGGCATAGTTTACAATGTTTACATACATATTTGAATGTATCTATTGCCTTATTGGTTGTGCAAAATACCCGGTGGTACCTAATGAATGTTTTTATACAATTGGTCATTTTATAATATAATACATTAAAAATTCAAATAATTATACACTTGCCAATGAGGGAACGCCTTTTTTCATTTAAAGGACTCTGCTTCTTAAAATTTCCTGGTAGGTCAAAGATCACCTATCCGCCCACGCACCTTAACGGTGACCACTTATAATTACATAGTATCTATTACTTAT